CTTCCAGTGAATGACCAGTAACAAGTGCTAGTTAGTACTGGAGCAGCAGCTAAAGACCAGGCAGCTAAACTGTACTTACTCCGACACCACACAGAGAGGACAAATACCTGATTTGGTGTTTGCACATTTCAGGGCCTCAGCCCGCACAGATAGGACAAATACCCAATTCAGCATTTGCACATCTCAGGGCCTCAGCCCGCACAGATAGGACAAATACCCAATTCAGCATTTGTACATCCCTGGAGCTGGGAGTGCAGCTATGTTTAATGGAAACAGGCAGGTTGTTGGACAGTTGTTACTGCAGTCACAGCCTTTTTTTTACAGAACTGCCTTTGGGTATAGAGTTTGTGCAGTGAGAGTCAGACATGGCGGGGACCTCGTTTAACAGGGTAACACATCGGTGCCCTCACAGAGCTGAATCAAAATGATACGGGATAGGGAGAGACAGAGACAGATGGAAGGTTCCGGAGAGATGGCTTGCTGGGAATAGGTGGAGATTTTACAGCAGTGCTGACCTTATTATAATATACAGCAAGCAAGACCTTTCAGTTTCATTTCAGAAATAGCCCCACGTTTGCCCGCGGGTATGTATAGCAGCTTTCTGCTGTATTGAAATGAACTTTGACCTCTGTCCACTTCCCCTCTGACCTGCACACTGCCATCGCCTTTTTCCCTTAAGGCTCCTAAGTAGGGAGCATTAGCAAGAAAAATAAACAGTGTCACTTCTTGTTAATGAGTCAGCATGGAGCTTAAGGGTCTTACAGGGTCTTATGGGTCGATGAGAGTGAGACTCTCACAAACGGCTGGTGCTACGGTGGGGTGTTTCTGCTGCGCGATTCAGTTGCTCAGCCATGTCGACCATTTCCAGGTCAGGCCTGTAACAGAAACCCAGCAAAGCCCCCTTCTTGCCCCCTTCCAGCCACACGTCCCAAATGCCGCCCCCCTCAGGGACCAGGGGCCGTGCTGGTTTTCATGCAACCTCAGCTGCTGGTCGCTCGGTCGAGGTGATTATTGGAAGCTTAACCTCAGGTTTTATCGGACCCTCATAAAAATCTGACCCTAAGGAGACAGAGTCTGTCCCACTTCATGGGGGTTTGTTAACCCAACCCTGCCCAGGTTCAGCCAATTAAAAGTTATTCATAGCGCCTCCTTCAGGGCTGTGGTGGTATATATGAGTTTTATACTCAGATTCAATTATGCCTATTGGGACTGACCTTAAAATTTATTATTAGTAACGGACTACATCGGGCGGAATGAGAAGTTTTACAGTGCTGGCATTATCAATTGTTAAATTAAAAAATATTTTTAAAAACAGATTATAGAAGATATTACATCAGTTTGTGGACAGGAAACGGGAGCCCAATGAAAACAACTTGGACTTACAGTCCTCTTCGTTCGTATGTCTGAAAGTTCGTAAGTTGAAAGTTCGTAAGTAGAGGAGCCTCTGTATACACACTGCTTGTGGCCTTCCCCGTCACAAACGTCCTTTATTGATAACCAAATCCATTATATGATACATTTTAAAGTTGCAACAGCGGACTGCATTAAATTGGAAATTCAGTAAATAGCATGAATAAGTACAGCTGCAATTGAGAAAATGTCACTGTATTAAAAAATACACTAATAAAAGCCACTGTCTTGAAGGGAACAGTAGATCCTTAAGGAATAGCAGTGACAAGTGCTGCCCCATAAATGCTTAGTACAGTGCAGCATAGTAAATTGATGTATCTTTTTGGGGCTTAGGCTGAGATTAGCTGGAGAGCTGGTGGTGCCATAGTGACAGAGCACACTGATAGCCAGGGTAACAATAAGCCATGATGAAGCATTGGGGATTGACGCCTGTCTACCATTTACACGAAAATTAGTGAAATTTAAAAGTAATTTTGAAACTCTTATTACATCAGAAGACATCTCAAATCATGGGGTTGCCTGCACATGCCAATAAGTTCAAGAACTAATCTCAGGGCAGTATGTAACCCCCATCTCTCTGGGGGCAAATAGCAGTCCGGTTTAAGGTGGCAAATGTGACCAAACCCCCCCATCACGTGGAAATGGAAAAAGTCTCCCAACTTTGAAGCTTCACTCGCGCACTAACAAAACGGCATTACAATCTTCAGAGACGCTCTGGCTGAGTGAATCGCATGGCGGGCTTATAAGCAGATGTCACTCTGCAAAAGCACTGGCTCATCCCAGCTGAGAAGGACAGCACGGCTGGTAGTTTGTTGTGGCTTTTTTTCTGGGATCTGATTGGCCACAAATTCACCAATAAGAGGTAGCCATAAGAATGGGAGAAGCCAATGAGATACTGTGATTTGTAACTATTAAACTTTATCTTCTTAATTTCTTTGGCAAATATGGAGGCAAATACAAATGACGATGGTCAGAGGTGATGCTCATTGGCTGGCCTTGCGGCACCTATGTGTGATTTATGCACAAAGGATTGTGGGTAACCACTGGCGTCATGACCCTTGAGAATGTGAGCAGTCCGCGCTCCAGGGAGGACCCTGAATTGGGCTGGGCAGATTGAGATTGAGGCATGGCTGGGATGGTGTTTATTGAGGTGCCTCTTGGTTTCATGGGATAGTTAATGAACAGCCAAGCTGTTTGTTTGTTTGTTTATTTACATAATATTAAATAGCAATTCTTGTAATTTGAGGTTTCGAAAAGCTGCTTATAGGACCTGAAGACAGACGATGTCCTCCAAAGAGCCGCCGTTCCTGGGGGGGCCACCGCCCGTCACACCCCAGGTCCCCCTCTGACTTCGGGTTCATGTCTGAGAAGAGCAACATCTCCCCATTTCGATTCGCACAGGACAACAAAGAAAACTATTTGTCACAATCACGACATGTTAACAACACAATAAAAGGCAACTAACACATCTATTTGTCAAAGAGCAGGCTGCAGACAAAACATGCAGACTTTATAACTAAGAACACGTCAGACAGTTATGGCTGCTGTCTCCCGTACAGAACATTCCAACATGGGTCACAAAACTACTGCATGCCTACACATTTCAGTTAATATACAGAACATATTAACACTTCTGAAATAATTCCAGATTTTCACATATTCCTAAAGGGACAGCAACACCGTGTCATTAAGGGGGTAAAGTGGACCATTCCAACACCGTGTCATTATGGGGGTAAAGTGGACCATTCCAACACCGTATCATTAAGGGGGTAAAGTGGACCATTCCAACACCGTGTCATTAAGGGGGGAAATGGACCATTCCAACAATGGCAATCATGGGTGTAAAAAATTGACAGGACACAAAAAACGCTGCTCAGATGGGGAGGCAGAACATAGCTGTGCTTAAGTTTTCATCATCACTGGTTGCCCGAGGTTGAGGGAGGGACATTTATTGAGAGGCCTCTGCAGGAATGAATAGGATGAGCACCTTTTCAGACCTGTGATGTTATTTCACAGAAAAATGTGTCCCTTAAAAAACACTTTTATGGGAAAAATACATAAATGAACACGACTAGTTGGAGAAATGATGAAAGAGTCACAAAGTTAGATGCTGTTCTTTGGCTGGGAGGGTGGGGCTGGGCCTTGGTGAGGGCTGGACCTGGAGACCTGACCCAGGGAGGGGGGGGGCTGGCCCTCGGTGAGGGCTGGACCTGGAAACGGCCGGACCATCTGACCCGGGAAGGGCGTGGCTGGACTCTGACGTGACGAAGATGCTGGGGATCTGATCAACGGCTGCATTAAATCCCACCCCTTCCTGTACAACACCGGCCTATTGACATCAACAACAGGAAAAAAAGAGGAGGCTCATTCACAGACATAACTGGCACAGAAGGAGGGTCATTTATCAAGGCATCATTCAGCTGATGCTGCCATAGCAGCACAGTGCTGACAAGCTTCACAGCAAGTTCTCCGTCAAGCTGTGAAAAGCACTAAGATAGCTGAGAGTGACAAGGAGGAACAGGGAAGCAAGACAGCCGTTGACTCCTCAGTGGCATGTGTTCAGTAATTAATTGTCTAGATTAAAATGTTAAGCAAGCATGCAAAGGTGAATGCAGAACACGCAAATGATGAGCATTACAGAGAAGATGAGCTGGCATGGAGACAATGTGCAGAAGATTACAAACTGAACTGATAAGGTATGATTGATCTGCATCGTTCAAGATGCAAACAGACGAATTTACAGAGCTTGCGTTCATATGCATAAATGAGCACATTCGCTGCTCACAGACATAGTATTTTAAGAGTGTTCTACACCACAAGAGCTCAGCTGTCACAAAGCAGCATGACACAGGCAGGGGGAAAAGTGATGATCTACTTTGGGGTTCCAATAAACAATGGCGTTTATTGGGGAAACTGAAAACTAGGAAGGCACAAAATAAAGCGACCACAAGGGGTTAAAAAAGCCAAACAGGAAAACAAATAACTACTGAGACCAGAGAAACACACACTCTAACGTTCTGACACAATAACCAACTGCAGAACTGACCTAAGGTGGGAACATAAAGACACAAACCAAACCGGGTAATGGAGCAGCAGGAGTGAGGAACGGAACAATGAACCAGTGAGAGAGAGTGCTGTGTAAGGAACAAAGGAAACACACTAGGGAAGACTAGGAACTAAGACAGAGAGGGGGAAGGTGGAATGGCCAGCAACACCTGCTGGCCAGTGGGGAAAGTTCACAAAGGTTGGGTTCGGACATTACAGACCCTGACACTCAGCAGCCTGACCAGTGTCACCTGCATAACTACACCAATGAGGAGGACCATTGAGGGTCATGTGGGACCGTGATAACAGAAGCTGTGTGGGGGATGGGTGGCAAGGGACAGGAGAGGCTCCCTGATTGGCCAGTGTCCTGGAAAAGACTAAGGACCAGCCAGCAAATAAGATATGCTAGGGACACAGCCTGCCACGGCAAAATAAACTTTGTCAGTTTCAAAGTTTGGGGATGCAGAGACTTATTTGCTCTCGTTCCGCCGGTTCCTTGGACATCTACTGCTCTCCTCTTCATCAGCCACCCTCGCTTCACCGCTCCATCCCTTTTGTCACTATTTAGCTGTAACAGGACCAGTGTGTTTGCCCCTATGCACCAATGCGCATGTCATTCTCTACAGAATGTCTCAGGCTAATCCTGTGCTGGATGGAGGACGAGTCGGTACTTCAGCAGCCAAAGCGACACGGTCGGGCAGCCCAGGCTCAAACCGCTGACCTTCAGCGCATAATGTGCACTGGCTATTAATGTCGGATTCTATAAAGATCGGACACATACAGTAGCTCTACAAGTTAAAGCCTTTCCCTATAAATCTAAACCTGAAACTAAAACATATAAAAACTGAATAGAAATATATCTTTAAAATAAACCACACAGCTAAAACTAATTTCAAATAAAAATTGAAAATAATATAAAAATAAAAACTAAACCAAAACACAAAAACTATAATAACACTTTTACACAAACTGCTCCATGCAGATTGATGGTTTTTGTGCCATTCATTTGAAAACGTTTTGTTTGTTACAAAATCAGGGTCTAAATATGCTATATTCTCAGATGATGTTATTTGTACATTTGTCCCTTGTAAAAATTTAAAAATAAATTAATGAAAGGTGTTTGGTTGATTGGGCACAGTTGGTGCATGGGAAACAACATAGAAGTTAACATGTAATCTAATTAAATCATTTAGTTGCATATTTGTTAATTGGCTATGATTTATAAATTATCATTTATAGTTTGCAATTACACTTGGGGCTTTTGGGCTCATTATAGCAATTAAAATTAGGAAATGTCATTTGGAGAAATGTCAACGTAAACGCAGCTCCAAAAATCTTGCTCAATCAGGATTCATAAACACCAAATATAGGCCAGAATCCAATTAGCAGATCATTCATAATCAATTTGGTGTCATCATTCCGGAGTCTGGGAGCTGCTTGAAGTCAAACTGGCATTGATTAGACCTCAAGTGGGGCAGGATTTAGGGGCGATGTGAAGGTCACTGAATGGGGGTCGCGCTGTCAAAAACCAATTACCTCCTACAGCAGCCAGAATATATGCGCATGAGGACAAAGAGGCAGCATTATCATTACAATAGTGGTATATATCTCAGTGCCACCTGGGCTTCCTCTACTCTGACCTTCATAACCACCCTTGGTTCAGGAGTTACTACGTTACAGTCTGTGAAGGACCAGAAGTGTCACTTTTTCATGGCGCTGAGAAAGTGCCGTGAAAATGAAGAGTGACAGTCTGATAATGGCCTCGGCTAGTGAGGCATGCAAAAGTGAGTCTATCCCCGAGGCACTCTCTCTGGGGGCATGTCAGCCGTATGCTAACGACGCAAAATAATCTGTAATAATCGCCGGCACACAGCTACACCTGCAAATCCTCAGATAAATGAATCAATCCAAATCCAACTGGTCGTCCATAAAATGCAGCAGTGCTCTGAAGAATGGTTAGAAAGGCTAGAATGAACCCCAGGATGATGCTGAAGTGTGCTATGTCCTCCAAAGAGCCGCCGTTCCGCCGTTCCGTGCTATGGCTGACTTAGGGGCCCCAGATGCTGACATCATGCTGACATCATACTGACATCATGCTGACATCATGATCCAACAGTGACTTAGGATTTTACCTGGACTTTGCCTGATGCGTAACAGGACAGATTCATTTAAAGGAATCAAACTAATAAACGTCAGGTATGTCTCCAAGGGTGTTCAGTAGACGACTCTTTAGACAAACTTGTTTGATCGCTTCGGAAAGATTTAATCACTCAGGTGTCCCTGTGGGAAACTGTGGTGAGAGTCAATCTATATCCAATTACTGAGCAGAAAGAGCAAAGTACATTCCTCCACTGCCGCACAATGACATGATGGAAACTGGTAACCCCTGGAAATCTCTTGGGGGGGAGGGGGACAGGAGGTTTACAGTTGGGGGGAGAATCTCTGAGCGCAACTGCTCTGAAGGTAATCCAGCTGTCACAGGGAGTCCGGGGCCAGCGACAGTGTAACACTGTCCCCAAGGACTGTCCTTCCATCCAAGCTTCAAACACAGTACAGCAGTGGACAGGGCTTTAGTCAGGCGACATTGTTCTAGAGATGTCCAAACTTGTTCTGAAGTTTTGGAGTGCCATAAGATGTTTGGAGCGGTACAGAATTAGTTGCTGACATCATCGCGGGAGTGTCTCCTACCTTCTCAAAAACAGTTGAGTCCTGGCTCTTCTTGGCCTTGATGGAGCTGGAGTAGTAGATGGGCAGCAACTCAGCGGTGTCCATGGTGATCTCACTCGACACCTGGCGACTGGCGGACCGCGAGCCCGGGCTGCTGAGGTCGCTTTTGGCATCCATGTTTACTGGGGTCTGGGGCATCCCAACACAGGGGACAAGCGAGAGAGCATGGGGCGGAATCAAAGCCATCGTCAGATTCCTCACCGTCATCAATTAGCCAGGGCAAGAGTCACTGTCTGAAGAACTGGGCTTGCCCCAGACATATCCACTACCCACCAGAACCATACTGTCCTACTAGTCCTGGCATCATAAACATGACGATGATTACCCTAAGAGTATCTACATATAGTGATGACCAAATGAAGCCTCATGCCTTTGCTCTTGGTTGATTTAGGGGCATGGTTTGAGCCCTTTTTAGCACGGAGAGCACTACCTCAGTGGGGTAATAAAATACAGCAAATGGTTCATGAAGCTTCATGTGACTATAACTATCTACAGGAATAAAGCCCCCAGAGCTTCCTATAAATTTCCAGGATGTTCATAAATTCCAAATCTCTTTATCATTTTGTTTCTTTTTATATGGATTAAATGAGATCTGGATTTTCTGTTCTTCGGCGCCGCTTTGATTGAATCCTCGTCAGGATTTGGCATGACAGAGATGGTTGGAAGTACTGATGGACAAAATGATGCTTCATGAACCATTCGCTGTATTTTTTGGCCCCACTAGATGGCATTGTCTGTTCAAAAAAAGGGAACAAGGCATGGCCCAAAGCAAACCAAGAGCACCATCAGTGTCAGTTTGTCTATCACTAGTCGGCAGCATAGAGGCAACACCAGTCAATAGCTACCAAACTACATTAAGTCTTTCCATATATATATGATAGATGGACATGGGTGTGAAGAGAGCAGCGAGTGGCTCGATGGATGGGGCGCGGCACGTACGGACTCGTCGGACGCTGAGGAGAGACGGGACTTGATGCTGCGGTGCAGGGGGTTGTTGAGCACCGACGACTGGCTGATGACCGTGGATCGACGGGCGGACATGAAGCTGCTGCTGACGAAGCGCTGATGGGCCGGGACACAGAGCAGGACACCCAGGCAGGGGATGTATCTGGCAAGGGCGGACCTGGCAGTAGATACACACAGCTATTCATACCTTCAGCATAGATCTAGTGTTGATAGAGTTGCAATGAATGGAGGGAGAATAGCTCTACATAGATATAAAGCAGCTGCTCTAAATTCAACACATGTAACAGGGAACACAAAATAGATGCTTTCAGCATGAGTGAAACAGGTCAATGCATCTGACTGAGTATGACCACCTGTCATACTCTGAACCACATATCATGGTCCAAAGTGATCCACACCATGCCTAGGATCATCACTGTACCTGTCCCCACTGTGATCAGTAATGACAGCTGACCAGATTGTTTCCCAGAATCATTACCTAGAATTCAATGGTATGACTTGGTGTCAGGAAATCCACAAGCCACAACCAACTTATTGATTTAGATATCTAGATTCTGACCTTGTGCAGTGACCCTCAATTAACACGATGGGCGCCTTCTAAAACTGTTTTGACATCAAACATACATATACCAACATTTGTGAATAAATCTTGCGAAAATATCAAGCAATTGTCTCCGTAATAAATAGAATGCTGTGTTTTGTTGTTATTTCTAGTAGAACTCCAGCCCATGAAATACATGCCCCATTGTGCACAGCATTACTCTGACACAATGTTGCACGACCGGATCGAGTGATTTCTCTAGATTCCATAGACATACGATTCACGTCTATCCAAAGTTACAAGCCTGAGAATAACGGGAGGAAACGTCGAGGCATTTTGCGTGTGTTGGGTTCTAGGGCCCCGTTGACAGAGATCCGCCTCCTCAGGCCCCCACCTGTACTTGGGGTGCGTGATGGCGTAGATGATGGGGTTGTGGATGGCCGAAGCTTTGGCGATGACGGCGGGCACCGAGTTCATGTACGGCGTCAGCATGTCGGCGTACCTGCGGGGGGGGAGAGGGCGGCCCCACATGCCGTTATTTATTACACCCAGAACAGCTAACATGCAATCCATGGTGCCACACAGGCCCATCAACCCACTGGGTGACCACCCAGAGCACCCTCTTCTGGGCGGAGAGAATGACTCAGCATATTGCCACCCCCCCCACAACCATCCATGGCAGGGAGGGAGGGGGGAGGTGAAGCTTCCCCAGGACCCCAGGACTGGCTACACTTCCAAAATCCATAAAAATCATGCTATGCTAACACTAGCTATCAGTATCCCATCTATCCCAGTCAGCAGTCAACATCCAGCCTCCGAATAGATGGTCTGGCTCTTAGGGGATACTGATCACAGTTTGCTGAGCAAATGAACAGTGTTACTGTGAAATTAATGAGGTGTTTGTTTTTGTGTAATATGTCCAGAATCCTTTTGATTGCCAGTCACAAGGAATTTGATTTGGTGCAGATGGTACCATCAGATGCAAAATTAAACATCCAATCAAAACAAAAGTACAAAAAATAGAATAAAAGTAAAAACAGAGATAGAAAATGAAATAAAAATTTGCAAATAATAAACAAACATGTAGAGATATAAATAATGATGAGCAAGCAGCTGCAGAGTGAGAGCAATGCAATGCAGCCTGATCCCCGGGAAGCACAGCCTCACCCCGCAAACGCTGTCAAGGCCACGCAGGAGTACGGAGACCAGGACACGACGTAGAGCAGGATGAGGATGAGCGCAATCTTGGCCATCTTCCAGTCGCTCTTCATGCGCTGGAACTTCTTCATGGAGTCGTTTTTGCTCTCCTTGTTGATTTCGTTCACGGCCCTGCGAGAAGCACACACAGACATGCACACGCAGACAGGCAGACACACGCAGACATACAGACACGCAGACACACACAGACATGCAGACACGCAGACACACACAGACATGCAGACACGCAGACACACACAGACATGCAGACACACACAGACATGCAGACACACACACGCAGATATGCAGACATGCACACCCAAACACACGCACACACCAAACAAAGTTTACATATTTATATGGAAACATGTTGTGTCGCAGTGGGCAGGGCTGCATATATAACAGTATTTAACTTCATCAAACGCACATTTGCTGAGCTCAGAGATTCCATCCATGTCACAAGATGAAACCCTGCACTGTCCTGACAGTTTTCTGAGGCCATTTTTTACGTGACACAACGCAAGCAACAAACTGGTAGTTAAATTAACCACACTGGGGGTCGCCAATCGATCTTCTGTCCAGCTGAGAGCTCGTCCAGCCCGGGGGCCGCAGGCTGACGCATCTCGGTTCGGTGGACAGACACGACGCGCTTCAATGCTCATGCTTTGGTCTGACCTTTTGCCTCATGATCATGTAGCTAATAATGCAGAGTCCGGGTGACAGGGAACATGTCCAGTGAAAATAATCGACTATAAATCACCTCAGTCACTCGTGTTTGATATATATGTGTGAAAGCAGACGGAGCTGCTCCATCAACCAGTGGTTGCATTTATTCCTTCTGTGATGCTGCACAAAGAATTCACAGGGATCAATGAAGTTCTATCTCATCTCATCTCATCTCATCTGCTGTACCCGACGGGCGGTTTCATTGCGACTCACGTACTTGTTTGTCTCCCGGATGGAGCGGAAGATGAAGGCGTAGCAGTACATGATGATGAAGAGCGGGATGAAGAAGACAAAGATGAAGAGCAGCATGGTGTAGGCCCGCACCGAGGGGGTGAAAGTCATGTAATCCCAGGTGCAGGAGGTCAGCAGGCCCTCGGGGACGTAGGCACCTAACGGGGGGGGGTGGGGTGGGAGAGCGTGACATCATTATGGGCGGGGCTAGACTTCCTGTTGTGCTTCTTGTTGACCCCCCCGAGTCAGGCACACTCACTCCAGCCGAAAAAGGGCGGCAGACTCCAGCCGAGGGAGTAGCCCCAGGTGGCGGCGAGGATGAGGAGCGCGCGGCGGTGAGACAGCACCCCGATGGAGGCCAGTGGACGCGTGATCACGACGTAGCGGTCCACGGCGATCACCGTGAGCGTGATCATGGAGCAGATCCCGAACAGGGCCCCGCAGAAGGCGTAGAGCTCACACGCTGCCAGGGAAGCAGGCCACAGGCTCAGCACGCACGGGAGGTAATGCTGTGACACCTTAGATCACCAATGCCGGCACTGAAATACGGTAATCCACTTAGGCAGGCCTGCCTTCAGAGTTCACACTGTGGGATATGTTAAAAGTACAAATGAGCAGGGATGATAGCTGCTCTTAAAAAGAGATCAAATAAGATGAACTGCATTGACGCCAGGGGGAAATACTGGTGCAAGGAGTGCAGACTGAGGTTAAAAGGTACACAGTAGATAAAAAGCACATCCTACAAAAGATTATTAAGGAAACAAATAAATGTCAAAAAATACTGACAAGTTGCCTCATACAAGAAAATACACATCAAAGACAAAGGCTGTATATGTGGAAGAATGCAACTGATCCCAAAGGAAATATGTTAATTGTATCAGGCACTCAAACCAAAAGAAACAAGATAAATAGCAGGTGAAATCCTAATCTGTCCGATAACTTATTATCCTGGGCAGGGTCACAGGGGGGCCTGAAGTCAACCGTAGGCAGGCCAAGACACCAGGCAGGGGACACCCTGGACGGGATGCCAGTCCATCACAGGGCATGAGGCAGGGGACACTCTGGACGGGATGCCAGTCCATCACAGGGCATGAGGCAGGGGACACCCAATGGGTTTAGAATAAATAAATAAATAAATGTCACATTCCGATCATTTTTTAAATTTGTGATCCATCACATAATACATGCTGAACGCCTCAGTTTCTCCATCGAGACAATAGAAGCAAACAAAAATGGCACCAAATCTTGGCTTTCTGATCAGATACCTGATTTTATTATTCACCTCAACTGTCACCTTCTCAAAGTTGGACACTATGAATGAAGAACAAAGGCTGACCATGTTTGTAGTACAAAAGTGACCCCATATCATCATCTACACAGTATCTACAAGGCACTGCACTTGTGTTCTAGGGAGTCCTAACCGTGGCCTGGGCTTGACAGGGGGCATGCTGCCAATCCTTACCCGTCTCCCCGAAGATCCACCTCTTATGCATGCTGGTGATGAAGAAGATGGGCGTCTGGGTGATGCACATGAGGAAGTCTGCGATGGCCAGGTTGATGATGAACATGTTGGCTGGTGTCCTGAGACTCCTGCTCCTGTAGATGCATGCAGAAACAGCTAAAGTCATGCAGAAGCAGTGAAATCCCTCCATTAATGTATCTGAAATCCTCCCATTAATGTACAACCCCTTTGTTCTGTTTAGGGTCGGGGGTTTACAGTTTGTTCCAGAAGGTACAGGGGCAAGGCAAGAAATAATGCAGGATGTGATGCCAACTCGTCACAGGGCACACACACACACACACACACTCACACACACACAAACACACACATACACGTGATTTGGCAACTCCAATTCACTTTAGTATGTTTTTGGACTGTGGGGGGAAACCGGAGAACCTGGAGGAAACCCCACGACGACACGGGAAGAACATGCAGAGTCCACAGACACGGAGCCATGGTGGACATTAATAAATGAGCTAATTAAGCGAGGCAGTCTGAGACAGCTGTGGTTTCACAAGCGCAATGTTGGCCTTTTGGCATTACGACCAGCCAACAGGAGATCCTCTGCCCTCGGATAGCTTGTAGAGCAAAAATAAAACTGGCCACTCCGATTAACAACAGGGAGAGGGCAAATCCAGATCCACAACTGGGTCCCTTGACAAATGGTGGATTATGTGACAGGAGGAAAAAATGTTCCCTTCTGGTATTTAAAGCCCTTTGTCATTCTGGGATAAATAAAGTGACTGATAAGAGCAGGCTGTGGAACAGCGAGCCCAGCGTACCTGCAGAAGGCGTACATGACCAGGAAATTCCCCACCATTCCGGTGATCCCCACAGCCAGGATAACTGATGCAATGGTGTAGTGAGCGTGGTCCGGCACATCCACCGTGGGGTAAGGGTACCGGGCCCGGGACACCGACATGGCCTGCAAGCACGTCAGAGTAAAAGCAGGAGATCCTCAGATTCTGCAGTCAGATACCCTTCAATGAACGCAGTGTGTGGCATAAATAATGAATCCGTAACTCATTCCAAACACGAGGCTATAGTTCCCCAAAGTCGTCATGTGAGGATGATGGGTTTTGTGAAGACTGGAGGTCAGAATGAAGGCCTTCTCTAAAATGATAAAGATCGCATCGAACTGAACTGTATCCTTTGCTGCCATTGTACCATTACAACCAAAATACAAATGCAAAATGCATTAACCCTCACTGGCTTGGCTGCCACTGCGCCCTGGAGGACCTCATTGGCTTGGCTGCCTCTGCGCCCAGGAGGACCTCACTGGCTTGGCTGCCTCTGCGCCCAGGAGGACCTCACTGGCTCGGCTGCCTCTGCGTCCAGGAGGGCCTCATTATCCCCCATGGGCTCGGCTGCCTCTGCGCCCAGGAGGACCTCACTGGCTCGGCTGCCTCTGCACCCAGGAGGACCTCACTGGCTTGGCTGCCTATGCGCCCAGGAGGACCTCACTAGCCCTCACAGGCTCAGCAACCTCTGAGGACCGTTGCCCCCGACCCCTGTCCCATTAAGTGGTTGCTGATGGGTGCATATTTGACTGTTTTCACCAGCTGGGGATGCCCTGAATGCTCTTCATAGATGGGGGAGGTCAATCTGCTAGTGTAGCTCCCCCTGTTGTCTACTTGACTGGAACCTTCCGGAAACCAGCCCATCCTGCATACACCACCTCTGAGCCCGGTTTCCTTACTCCACATCAGTCCGACTTCTCCATGACTTCCTCCAAATCCCAGCACTGGCACAGTGTCACCATTAGGTTGCTAACTCCCAGTTGCTCCAGGGACTGACTGACCCTGGTCTTGTGTCTGAAACACGGAACACTGAACACACAAACACCTCATGAACACATGAAGCTTTTTTGCACCCGATATTCCCCCTCTGACCTGAACTCACTGGGCCCGGTGGGTGAGATGGATCTCTCTGGTGACAAACCTTCACCTCATCAATTGTACAAGACAGAAGTTCTTCAACCAAGGACCACCAAATGAAAATGATTGGCACCCCCAATCGCTGATGTATGATTTCAAGAATAACCAAGAACCAAGGAGCGAGGGACTATAACTGTGTCAAAGGAGAGCATGATGGGATATGGGAAAATAAGCATTCCAGTATACCTGTGTCATACCTGTACAAAAGGCAAATAAAAGCATAATAAAAAATCATTTAGCAGTATATCAGCACAAGTGGACAGGCGGACTGTGTGTGTGGATGACTGTACCTGATCTGTGTGTGTGGATGACTGTACCTGATCTGTGTGTGTGGATGACTGTACCTGATCTGTGTGTGTGGATGACTGTACCTGACCTGTGTGTGTGGAT